CCTATAGATCCGGCGATAATAATATGCAGAAACTTTCATCTCTTCGCCAGCAGATCAGTTGGTCAATTTGCTCCGGCCCAGCCTGTTCTGTTTAATCGGCGGAAGCAACCCGGAACTTTATCTGTTTCCGGGTATCCTCAGCTAAATATTGAAGCAGGTAGGTACCACTACCAAGTCTGCTAACATCTATTCTTAAAACAGCTTTATCACCGGCAGTGCCGTGGAGCACTTTTTTGCCCATCATGTCGGTAATAACGAAGCTGAATCCCTGCTCAAGGCCTTTGATAAGAATATAGTCGTTTGCCGGATTAGGGAAAACACTTAATAAACCTGCCTGCGGGCGGTCTGTATGTACCTTAATAATATTGCTGTAGGTAATTTTACCATCAGATTCAACTGCTTTGAGCCGGTAGTATCCTATTTTCGTTGCGGTATTCTTATCAATGAGGCCATAGTTTTTAGTGCTGGTTTCATAGGGTGCTTCTACAGTCGCTATATTTTGAAAGTCGAGTGCATTGTAGGATCGCTCTACCTCAAATTTCACAGAAGTAGCCCGGTCATAGGCAGTTGTCCAATTCAAATGCACATCCGACTGTCCCTGAACACTGGCGTCAAAGGACAGTATTTTGATGGCCAATGCAACAGCGCTGGTATTACCTAAAATATACTCCGTGCTTTGGCCGGTTACTGTGAGCGTCTTATTGGTAACATTCGCGGTTGCAACCGCATCAGTCCAGGCGGTAACAGCATTGTCAGCGCGTTTATAGAGTTTCAGCAAGCTTTCATTTCCTGCGGTTACGTAAGTATTACCGGTGTAATTGTACTCTGCAGTGTACTGTGGGCTCGTTCCTCCTGCCTGATGTACCCCGAAATAGTGCCTGTTAGCCCCAATCCCACTGGCACCGCTTGTCGTATTCGGAAGCGCATTAGTATAGTAGATATGCATACCTGCAGGGTTGCCACTGGTGGAAGTAGCCGTAAAACTATTGCCCGTACTTGGGTTCAGCGTTACTGTTTTAGTGGTATTGATATAATCATGGGCCGACAAATCGCCGATCGGGGCACCGCTTAACGTTCTTGTGACATTAGCAGTGCCAGGCAAGCTACCATTATTTCTTATACCCGTTAGAAGGCTGTCTATCGCTACGGTACCGCTACTTTCATCGAATTTGTAATAGGACATCAAGTTGCCAGCCAAAGCATCGGTACTCCTGATTTTGCGACACATCCGA